CAATTCTTCTTCGTTCTTCCTTATTATTCATTGTTCAGCTTTCATATACATATGAGGCGACTGAAAAGACCATGGCTTGTGTTAGGTGCACCTTAGTCTTCAAAGAGACATCTTTGCTCTTCAGCACTTTAAAGAATCATTTGTAGCAGATCTGGCCAGTGCAATATGTCTGATTTTTTGACTGCTGCTTCCATGGGTGTTGATTGTGGATCCAAGCAATATGAAATCTTTGGCAACTCAATCTTTTCTCCTTTATCATGATGTTGCTTATTGGTTCTGTTGTGAGGAATGTAATCTTCTTTATGTTGAGGTGTAATTCATACTAAAGACTAGAGCCTTTAATCTTCATCAGTAAGTGCTTCAAGTCTTCTTTACTCTCAACAAGCAAGACTGTGTTGTGTGCATTGCAGGTTGTTAATGAGTCTTCCTCCAAATTGAGGCCACGTTCCTCTTCATATAGTCCAATTTCTCGATTATTTGTTCAGCATACAGATTGATAAAGTGTGGTGAAAAGATATAACCCTGACATACACCCTTTCTGATTTTAAATCATGCAGTATCCCCTTGCCCTGTTCAAACAACAGCCTCCTGGTCGATGTACAGGTTCCTCATGAGTACAATTAACTGTTCTGGAATTCTCATTCTTCTCAATGTTATCCATAATTTGTTATGATCCACACAGCCAAATGCTTCCACATAGTCAATAAAACACATGTAAACATCTTTCTGTTTTTCTTTGTTTTCAGCCAAGATCCATCTGATATCAGCAATAATATTCCTCGTTCCACGTCTTCTTCTGAATCCAGCACATTTCTGGTAGTTCTCTGTCCATAAAGTGCTGCAACCATTTTTTAATCATCCTCAGTAAAATTTTATTGTGTGCAATATCAATATTGTTCTATAATTTCCACTTTCTGTTGGATCACCCTTCTTTGAAATGGGCACAAAAATTGATCTCTTCCAGTCAGTCAGGTAGATAGCTGTGTTTTAAATTTCTTGGCATAAATGAGTAAGTGACTCCAGCAATGCATCTGTTAGTTGAAATATCTCAGTGGGTATCTCTTCAATTCCTTGAGCCTTGTTTTTCGCCAATTCCTTTAATGCAGGTTCAATTTCTTCCTTCAATATCATTGGTTCTCAACATATGCCACTTCCTGAAATAGTTGAACACTGACCAATTCCTTTTTGTACAGTGACTCCATATATTCCTTCCATCTTCTTTCAATGCTTCCTGTATCAGTCAATGTTTTGCCCATAGAATCTTTCAATATTGCAACTCAAGGCTTGAATTTTTCCATCAATTAGTTCAGCTTGAGAAATGCCAACTGTATTCTTCCCTTTTGGTTTCTAACTCCAGAACTTTGAACATTCCATTATAATAACTGATTTGGCTTCTCAAGCTTCTCTTTGAAATATTCTATTCAGCTCCTTTACTCTGTCATTTCTTCCGTTTGCTTAAGCTACTCTTCATTCAAGGGCTAGTTTCAGAGTCTCTACTGACATTCATTTTGGTCTTTTCTTACTTTTCTGTCTTTTTAACTACCTTTTGCATTCTTCATGTATGATGTTCTTAATGTCATCCCACAATTTGTCTGGTTTTCGGTCATTGGTGTTCAATGCATCAAATTTATTCTTCATATGGCCTCTATATTCAGTTGGGATATAATCAAGGTCATATTTTGGCTCTTGTGGATTTGTTTTAATTATCCTCAGCTTCAACTTGAACTTGCTATGAGCAACTGATGATCTGTTCCAAAATCAGCTCCTGGTCTTGTTTTGGCTATAGATACTGAGCTTCTCCATCACCTCTCCACAGATGCAGCTGATTTGACTCCTATGTATTCCATCTGGCAAGGTCTATACGTATAGCCACCGTTTATGCTGAAAAAAGGTTATTTTGTTGATCTTGCAAAATTCATATGATTTCTGGCATCATTTTTATCACCAAGGCCATATTTTCCAACGACTAGTGATTCTTCTTTGTTTCCAACTTTGCATTCCAATCACCACTAATAATCAATACATCCTGATTGCATGTTGGTCAATTTCAGACTGCAGAAGTTGGTAAAAATCTTCAATTTCCTCATCTTTGGCTTTAGTAGTAGTATTAACTGGTCTTCCTGTGGATATTATCCTATCACTGACAGTGCACTTCAGGATAGATCTCCTGGCATACTAGACTATGACTGTCTGATTCAAAATGTCCAGAACTAGTCTATTTCAGCTCACTAATGGCTAGGATATTGATCTTTATGCATTCCATTTCATTTTTGACAACTTCCAATTTCCTATATTCATACTTCGTACATTCCATGTTCCTATTGTTAATGGATGTTTGCAGCTGTTTCTTACCATTTTGAGTCGTGGCCCATCAGCAAATGAAAGTCCCCAAAGCTTTACTCCATCTATGTCATTAAGGTTGACTCTACTTTGAGGAGGCAGCTCTTCTCCAGTCATATTTTGAGTGCCTTCTGACCTGAAGGGCTCATCTTCTGGTACTGTATCAGGCAATGTTTCATGGCTCTTCAGAAAGCTTTCCAGTAATATATCAGAAAGTGTTTCACTAGTATTTGTAAGGTTTTCACTGGCTAGTTCTGAGAAGTGGATGGCCTCTTCCTTCTTCTTACTCTGTCTTAGTCTGGAAGCTCTGCTTAAATCTATCCAACATGGGTGACTCTGCTGGAATCTGCAATACCAGAGCTTTCAGCCTCACAGAAATATGCAATCCAACATAGTATGATAAATTGACAGAAGAGTGGTGGAATCTGAAAATCTAAACTAACATAATGTACCAAAATCTTAAAAGAGAATGAAATCAAGTGTTTAACTATATTTAAGTGAACACATTCTTTAAAAAAAAAAAAAAAAAAAAAAGCCACATGTTGAAACATAAGAAAGCATCTTTAAAAAATACAGTCACTTTTATAAGTATTACAAAAATCTTTGTAATTTCCCTCATAAGTTTTAAGGATATAACATATCTATCATTCACTTTAAAAGAAAAGAAAAGAAAAGAAAAGTTGCCTTTAAGTTGATTTTTACTGTGATGTCCCCAAGTGTAGACCTGCTCCATAGGGTTTTCTTGGCTATTTATGGATGCAGGTTACCAGGTCTTTCTTCTGTGATGCTGCTGGGTGGGTTTGGGCTGTCAACCTTTAGGTTAGTAGCAAACCTCTTGCACCACCAGGGATTCTATTACTCTGATCGAAATCTCTCTACAGTAAGTCTCATACATCATTTAAAGTCAAATCAAGCTAATCTCTCTCTGAATTACTGATAGAGGAATTTATGAAACATAAATCTCCCTTGCCCCCAAATATTAACAAAACAAAACAAAACCAGATTACTAAGGAAGACTGTTGTTAGCAATATTTCTCCATAATGTACCGTTTCTTTCTAGTTTTTAAACAGATGTCTACTTTACAGAATTTTCTTTCTTTCTTTTTATTTAATACAAAGGAAATGCAGTGATCATAAAAGAAACCATAATACATAGACTCTATATGTCTGTGGCACTACATTAGTTATCTTATCAATTGAGTTCAGAGGTAAAATAGGAGATTTACTTAATACTGAACAGAGGAAAGATGAACTGTTCCACAATGTAATAAAGGGTGTCGGGGTTGTTGACCGAATGAAAATCAAAACACAGAGTTTTTAAAAAAAGTGAAAATACTTCTTCCTTTATAATTACTATAGCCAGCTATGGAAACATTGACTTTTAACATACACAAAAAGAAATAAACATAAACATATTCATAAAAGATTCCCCTTCCAAAAGACTATTCAGTTTGGGCTGACAAAATATATCACAAATACAAGATTTTAGTACATTGCCTGGTACTGACAGGCATGGAGGCATGCATGTGCAAATAGGAGAAACAAAAGAATTTCTGTCTCCCTTCTCTCATGAAGTTATCAACTACCGCTATCATTATATATAACCCCCAATTTTTGTTTCTAGCAATCACCAGGAGCCAAGGAATGCTAACAAGCCTAAAAGTTATGGAAATTGTCACTATCATAAAAGATTAGCCAAATGGGCCAGGAGAAGTAGGAATGGAGAAACAAAAAGCAAGCAACAAGAATACACCCAGACTCTGTGGTGATGTGTTTTGAAGATTTTTCTAATTCCTAGCTTGCTTCAGTAAACTCTACAGTGATATGACTTCATTAATGTATTATATATTTTAAAATAATACAACATTCTCTCAATTCTTTCAACATGAAAATGGCACAGTATTCTCTCAATTTTTTAATACCAGTTCTAGGAAAGCAAGGAAAGGGCAATAAAGCACACTGCACATACCTATCTATTTATACATGCAGAGAAAAATCAGTGCAGGTATTAAATATTCAAATAACCTCAAACTGACTTCTGGCCAATCATTCTAATTTACAGCTCATGTTGAAGATATTTACAAAACTCCCTATGCACATGATAAGGTTATAGAAAATGAGAGATTCTCCCTATTCTAAGATGACTTTCTGCTTCAGCAGAGCAAACATTTGGTCAGAGTTTGGGGATAAGAGAGGTCAGGAAGAAACTGGCAAAAAATAAAAAGAGGGCAAACTATGAGGTATAGTCTACCTGGTTTTATCAAGAAATTACCCACCTCAAAATATATTATGTTTACCTAAACATAGTACCACATTACCTATAAAGTCAAATCCATAGTAATTCCTCAAAGAGTTCTCTAAACACTTAAGGATTCAGCTACAGAGTAGAGATTCAGTATACTCTGGAAGGAGCTAAATTTTGGTCGATAAACAAATGTGTATTGAAAAGCTGTGATTTTAGATTACATTTATCAAACATATTGTTGGAAAGCCCCATGCCCAATTTCCACGATACTTATATCTGAGTACATGTTTGTAAAGAACAACTCATTTCTCAGCTTCCCAAGGTCAGCCATGCTCACTTGCTGTTGGGGAAAGATGCAAGTTTCTGAGGGATAAAATCAACATTCCTAGAAACTGCTTAAAACTGGATGCCTTACCAAAAGGAGGTAGTCCATATGTTTGGGTTGCCTGAGGGTAGACAGCATAGGGTTGAGACTGTTGTAGTGTCTGGTACTGAGTCTGTCCAGGATAAGCAGTTTCCGATACAGGAACTGAGAGGATATGTGCATATGGTCTAGAGAAGTTCAAGAAAACAAAAACCTTTATGTGTAATTTATTTCAGTAATGAGAAATGGGGGAAGTGGCTATATCACTAACATCAAAGAATCAGCAATGGGGGAGAATGACCTATCCCATAAAATGGTTCTTGGTGTGGTCACAAAGTAGAACCCTTTTCTCCTTTTCATGTTCTACTATCACCTACCTAAAGAATATTATGGAAAGTTTAATAATTACAAACATCCTCCCAAGGTCCAATTATTATCCTATAAACATTTGTAGTATGCTACTACATGCAAGACTCCATGTGAGATACAGGGATGGATTAAACTTGTTTCTATTCTTATGTCTACATAGAGAATAAAATCCTAAATAGGAAATTGGATACAACAGGTTGACAATTAGCTCATTCTCCACCTAGTCCCTGGGGCAAACCAAAATTCTGAGAGAAAGTGGGACTTGGAAAAGAGGGCATGGCTGGTGGAGAAAAGGCAAGGAACCCATCATAAAATAGGGGGTGAGGGAGGCCCCAATTTCCCTAGATCAAGCTTACAAAAAAGGAGCCAGGTCACCAGGAAATCCCAGACAGGACTCAGAATCTTTGCACTGATACTCAAGTCAGACCATATTGCTACTAGTTGGTGCCAACCACATCAGAGATAGCTAGGGATGTAAATTCAGCAGTGACACCCCTGGGACTTTAGACTAGCTAGCTGACCTGGTCATTTCATATCCACACAATAAGACAGTCTCATATTTTATGTGCTACATTTTTATATTCCAGTTATTTTATTTGGTGGGTTATGCTGAAATTATAATGCAAGAAAATATGTGTTATATGTGCCATATGAGTCATAACAACAAAACACTGGGAAGACGGTTAGTGTTACAGAAGGGAAAAAAGATTTTTTTTCCCAAGCTCTGGAAAGAGAAGAATGAAGGAAAGTTATAAAGAAGTGGCAGAAAGGATGTGCAGCAATGAAAAAGAAAGCGTATTCTAGGAAAAGAGAAAAGGCCCTGGCATGGGGAAGGAGTCCTTAGCAAAAGTACAGAGGAAAGAAAGCAAAGGCTTCAGCCTGCAAGGAGCATCAACTATATTAAGAGAAGTTGAAAGAGAAAGCTAGAAAGATAAAAAGCAAAGACCCTGAATGTGAGGCTATAAGAGTTCAGACAAACCTGAAACTGGAAGTCACTGAAATATCTGAGCACAGAACGACAAGACCAGAGCTTTTTTTAAGGAAGATTAATTTGACATTGCTTTGTGCTTATAAGGAGAGACACTGGAAATGAAGATCCAGTTAAAAAAAGATTATAATGTAATGGCTCAGATTAGTGGTAAGGAGGGTCTGAATTAAGATAGAAGGCACAGATAATAAGGTGTCCTGAATGTAGTGGGTATGTAAATATTTTTTGAATGAATGAATGAATTTAGAATATGCAACATACTGTCTTCTGAGCAGCTTATACACAAATGAATTTGAAAATTTCTATTCTTCTTAGCCAGATCTGAGTCCAAAAAACAGTTCAGGTTGCAACTGTGACTCGGGTCATAATTAGCCATCTCAAATGGATTTAAGCTCCATGTTAAAGATCATAATATCCTTTTTCATGTAGTGCCATTATAGCTTTAAAGGACTTTCACATTTATTATGTAATTTCTTCATGACTCCAGAGAGCAGGTACAGTCGTTTCAGAGAAGAGGTAAACAATATGAAAACTACTGGCCCAAAAACACTATTAGTGTTAATACTAGATTAGAATTTGGAGAACTCACTGAGTTGACTTTTTAATTTTTAACTGATGCAAAATTCAGAAGGTATAAATGGTACAAAAAGGAAGCAAATACCATTCTGCTTTTCACTGTGACCCTTCAGCATCTCTCACTTTGTTAACGATTTCTTTATGCAACCTGCATATGTAAGCCCTGTAGTTTAATAATCACATCTGCATGTATTTGTATGCACAGACCTACTCCTTATAAATGCACAATTAGTAGCTTGATATTCACTATTCTGCACTTACCCTTCTGGAGATGAGTTGCTTACATGCTGACCTTACCCCATGAAGACTCAAAATATTGCCTCTTAGGTGATGTCATCCCACTAAATCTATTTTACATTAAGCCCAGCCCAACTCTGAGGACATCTCCCCAATAAGAAACCGAACACAGATTAGGCCAAGAAGCTCCAGTCAGAGGCTAGCTTAAACTGTTTTTATGATCTGTCTGTCAAAGTAGAGAAAGAATTGTCAGGGGTCAATCAGGGATATGCTGATCACAAACACTGTTTTGCAATTTCATTGCCTACTCACTTAGAGCTCTGGGTTATAGTGATCTAATCCAGACAACCATCTGCTTTTTAAAGGGATGTTATATAGACTCTATATTTAGAAGGAAGAAAAAGTTGGAATAGGGACAAAGAGAACAAGGGAGGTGAAAAGAAATTAAATATCAAATTAAATTTTGCAAAGAGCCTAAGAAAAAGCACATAGATTTTGGAAATAAGTATTCAACTTACTTTGCAGAATACATTTGTGAGGTATAATCATTGGATGAGCGAGGGATGTAATCGGTGCATGTCATAACTGAAAGAAAGATAACATCACCAGGTAAAAAAGTTAGCACACTTCAAAAATGGAATGGGAAAACCTCATATCTCACTGTACAGTTTTTCAAACTAAGTAACAAAATCAAGCTTAGGTATCAGAAATCCAGAAAGACTATGTGTTAGAAAATACCTCATTCTTCTAATAAACTGTTTATAGACTTTTAGAGACAGCAAAGAAGGTAAAATATGGGGGAATATGGAAAAGAGCTGAAGATTGGTATCAGCCATTCCCTACCTTTACTCATTCCTGATTTAAAACTACAGATGAAGCACACTCTTAAGCTACCAGCTGTGTTCACAGGCACCTTAAAAAAGTTAGATCATCTATTTAGGAATAAATAAATATTCCTAAATATGCACGTTATGCAACAGCTTATTCACTCTTTGGGTGCTTACTGTAATATAAGTAAAGGCTCAAAGAATGATTTGCAGAAAAAGAAACTTGGGGACAGTAACCCATCTTATTAGAAAGCTGTAGCTAATGCTGTGTTTAATTAACAGCAGAACAGATACCAGTACAATTCTACACTACTATTTTTAAAGGTTTGTAGTCAAGACTTTGCTTAAGGTTGGCAAAGCAGAGACGGACCAGAGGACCTGATGTGATGCTCTTATAAATCATCAAGTTAAGAGACTTTCTCAACCAGGGTCCTCTTGACCCCCATGATTTCAACTAGAATAGCTGCTGTGAAGGCTTGACCCTTGTGGTAGTTATGTTTGTATGTCAACTTGGCTGGGCCTGGTTGAGTGGCTGGGCAGCTGGTGGTAGTTATTCCCTATGATGAGACTGACAATCAACTCCATGGTGGGATCTACCACAAGCACCTGACTAGCTGCCTTTGGGATGTGGTCTGCTTCCTGTATTTAAGGAGAAGTCTTGGGAATGGTCTCTAGCTTATGGCATGCTTGGACCCTGCATGCAGCCGTGTCATTGCTCAGCAGCCTGCCATGCTCTGCTGACCTTGGGACTTACAATGGACTTAAGTTAATGGCCTGACACGTGGCTTGGTAACATTGGGACTGTGTCTTTTTACTTGTCAACCTTGGGGCTTCTCAGCCTCAGCAGGCAGCAGCTGTCTCAGTGAAGAAATGCCTCTAGCTCCAGTGGGCTGGGAGCAGGAGGCAGAGCTGGACCTCAAGGTTGAGGGGCTTCCACCCGGTTCCTAGAGCCTGGCACTTTGAATTTGGACTTAAAGCCTCTAAATTGTAAGAATAAACTCCTGTTTGTTAAGGCCATCCCATTTGTGGTATATTTTTTGTCAGAGCGGCACTACGGAACCAGAACAACCCTCATGATTTCATTTGGGATAAATGCTGTAAATATTTGACATAAGTTTGACAGGGAGCAGAATCCTATTCATTAAGCTCTATTCCAGTCCATGTTATAGACAGAGTTATGGCATAGTGAACTTGCACCAGACTCCTTAACTGTTAAAGAACTTCCTTCAATATCTATAAAGGAGCTAACTGTACTGTGAACAGAGACTAAGGATAAACCAACTAATTTTATATCTAGTTGGGTTCCCTGAAGGAGTCTCTGACCTAAAAAGAGAATCTTGGTTAAGAGCAAATGAGGAGTCAATTCATGCCCAACAGTGAGACAAATCAACACCTATATGTTTATCATAGAAGCTCTTCCCCAATGCCATTGTTCCAATTCTTTTAAAATAATTATTAGAAACTTGTAGATTACATTTATCTATAATCGTTTTGACAAAAATGAAGGCAATCTCAATTAGATCTAAAGTTCTTACCATCCTTCACAAAGAATGTATGGTCAATTCATTTGAATTCTGCCTGATGGTTTCTTCTCTGCTGACACGTACTTTCAAAAACCCCAAACCCCATTCCTTCACCAATTTACTGTAATTCTAGAAGAGGCTAACAAAACCACCTGGGAGATTTAGGCCAATTTTTACATCGCTGTAGAATCAATGTGCCTTGATTTTTTTAATACTTTGGACCAATGAAAAGATTATAAAGGGTTGAGACGTATTCTGCTATTATGCAATGGAAGGCTCAAGAGAGGCTTAAGTAACATGCTGGCTTAGACTAGTAGAGATGAAGTGAAATGAATGCATCTATAATAAATTCTGAAGGTAAAACTAACAGGATATTCTGATGGATTTTAATGTGAGGAATGAGGAAAACGAGAACCCAAGATGAATTCAATGTTTAGCTTGAACACTAGAGGGATAGTCATATCATTTTCTAAGATAGGGAAGTTTAGAAGAACAGATATGATGGGGTTTAAGAGAATCTGAAAGGCTGGTGGTTCAAACCTACCCGGTAGCTCTGCAGGAGAAAAACATGGCAATCTGCAATCATAAAGATTACAGCCTAGAAATCCTATGGGGTAGTTCCAATCTGTACCACAGCGTTGCTGTACATCAGAAATGACCAGACTGCATCTAACAACAAGAGAATCAAAAGCTCTTTTTTAGACATTTTAAGCCTGATTTTCTTTTTAGATATCCAAATGCACATGTCAAGTGAGCAGCTGGATACACAAATCTGGAATGCAGGGAAGAAGTCTGATTGGAAATACAAATTTGAGATTCATTAACAATGTACATATTTAAAATAAAACAGAGCCCTGGTGGTGTAGAGGTTAAGTGCTTGGCTGCTAACCAAGAGGTCAGCAGTTTGAACCACCAGATGTTCCTCAAGAGAAAGATGAGGCAGTCTGCTTCCACACAGATTTATAGCCTTGGGAACCCTATGGGGCAGTTCTACTCTGTCCTATAGGGTCACTATGAGTCAGAATCTATTTGACAGCAATGGGAGTGGGGTTTAATGGCTGAAACGTAAAATGAGAAAAGGTGATGGCCATTATAGATTGAATTGTATCCCCCCCAAAGTATGTGTCAACTTAGCTAGGCCATGATTCTCAGTATTATATAATTATTCTCCATTTTGTGATCTGATGTAGTTATCTTATGTGTTGGAAATTCTAACTTCTATGATGTTAATGGGGAGGTCTGGCACATAGTACCTAAGGCACTTGACTGCTAACCAGAAGCTGGCGGTTCAAACCCACCAGCCACTCCTCGGAAGGAAGGTTGGGCAATCTATTTCCGTAGTGATACGGCCTCGGAAACCCAAGGAGGGGTCACTATGAGTTGGGCCAACTCGACGGCACATAACAACAACAACATGATGTTAATGAGACAGGATTAGAGTCTGTTATGTTAATGAGGCAGGATACCATCTACAGGATTAGATTATATCTTGAGTCAATCTCTTTTGAGACACAGAAGAGATTAAATAGCCAGCAGAAATCAGAGGGACCTTCTACCACCAAGGAGGAAGAGACAGGAGCAGAGCACATCCTTTGGACTTAGGGTCTCTGTGCAGAAAAACTACATGTCCCAGGGGAAGATGGATTACAAGGACCTTCATCCAGAGCTGACAGAAAAAGTCTTCCCCTCAGGCTGGCACCCTAAACCCAGATTTCCAACCTGTTAAACTGTGAGAGGATAAATCTGTTTGTTAAAGCCATTCACTTGCGGTATTCCTGTTACAGCAAGAGATAACTAAGACAGTGGCCTAGAACCAAGACTTGAAGCCTGACTACATTCAGAGTTCAGACAGAGGAATAAGGGTCTGTAAAAGAGAAAGATGGGAGGAAAGTGGGGAGTGGCAGAATATGAGGTGAGAGAAATACTTATTAGAATTGGCAACACAAAAGTCATTTATGACCTTGACAAGAGCACTTTCATCGAAATGGTGGGTAAAGAAGTTAAATTTGAGAGAGTTGAAGAATGAATGAGATCTGTAAGAAAGCAAGTGAGGATAACTCTTTCCAGAGATTCTGGTGTATCATGGAACAAACAGAAGGTCTACAACTAGTGGGGGATAAGGAGCCAAGGGACGGTTTTTGTTTGTTTTAACACAGCAGCTACTACTGCACGTCTCTTTACTGACAAAAAGGATAAAGAAGAGAAGGAGATGGTGAGAATGTGGACGTGATTATAGCATCAGATGACTATAGTATCAAAATCCACGGAGAAGATCAGAGGGGTAAGAACAAAGAACAGAACGTACCTCTGACAGAAGCAAAAGTAATCTTTCCATTCTTGCAAGAAAGAAGCAATAAAATATGGGTACAAACACAGGAAGGTTTGACAATTTAGTGATGGTGGGATAAAAGGGAGCTTCCTATGTGGCAGCTTCTATTTGAGAAAAAGTCATCAGAAGCTAAAAGTGAGGAAAGGTGAATGAGTATGGGTGCTTTGAAAGAAGTGGTTGAAATATTAAAATGCAAAACTCATCAGAAAAATGTAGTAGGGTTTCCAAGCATGTTGAATGCCCAGCTGAGGTCCTATGAGTATAACTAAAGTATAACTAGCCAGCTAGGTATATAATTTTATCTAAGACTGTTTAACTTTTTATATGCACTTATGGAAAAGGTAGAGAGTTGGGTTAACACAGGACTTGGATTTAGCAAGGAGAGTACAAGGGGCAAATTTATTGACAGTACTTATTAGGGAGTGATTACAATAAAGGACCATGCAATCTATGTTGAGTAAGAAGTGAAATGGAGACAAGAGAGGTATGATGGGTGCTGGATAGGTCATCTATATGATATTGTAATTATCCAGCATAACAGTATGAATAGAGAAGAAAACAGAAGATCTATTCTTTACAAAGGAGAATGACTGAGAGTTAAGTTGACGGTAAAAAGGAAGGTAGGGGGAAGTAGAGATACAGACTTAAAGGAACTAGAGTTTTTGAAGGGAAAAAAAAGGAAATTATTTGGAAAGACCAAGCAGAAGGCTCAATTTCATCCCAGGCCATGAAGTTTGTAGATTATGGGGGTTTAGGCTTTTTCCTTTAGGATGGACATGATTTTTAAAAAATTAGAGGAGACATTTTCCACTCATTAAGAGTAGTTTTCCACAGCATGGACCATATGTACCAGAATTACCAAGCTAACTTCTTAAAAAATGCAGATTCTCTATCCACATCAGGCCT